TATAACTAACTGCAGACAGTACTGTTTCGGCCTTCTGGGCCTCAAGTGTAGAACGTAGATATTCGTAAAACAGTGCTCAATACATTAATGTAGAGCGAAGTATATGTTGTGGAGGAAAGAAACAAATAGACTACGCTTTCATCCGGACAAGACTGTTTCGTGGTTGCCCACTCATCAGGGGATTTAATAAAAATATTCTTTACCACTTCTTATATACAAAATAATTTACGTATTTGTTTACATCAAAAGAAAGCTTAGTAGATGCAGTTCGCGACAAAAATGATTATGGCGATTTTTTCATTTAGAGACTGTCAGGAACCGGCAAGGCGTGAAGCGACCGAGACTCCTTCTCTTGAATTTATAGGGTATCGGATCCCACAGCGCGAGCAAAATGGCTGCACAGTCTTATTCACAGGGGATCAATCAACAAGAGTGTGTCAGGCTTTTCCGATATTCTGATTGGTTGTCTAGATATCCGTATCTAAAGTTAGAGTAACGAAAAATATGCGAAACGTGTTGCGTAAATGAACACCACGTGAAAAATATTTAAAATATCAAAATTTCCTGACACACTTTCGTTTGTCCTTATCCCTGGAATGTTTTGGCGAAATTTCACGAAAATCGGTCAAATCTACAGTCCCTATGAATTCGCTCAAAGTGGATGTATTCCTCACGAAATCAAATGCGAGATTTTAGCTCCTAAAGGTTTGTAGACAACTAGCGCCACACCAGGAGATTATCTCGCCTCCTGAAACCGCGAACCAATGGGAACACGGCACATCTTAGCGTCAATGACTATGAATCAAGATTTTCTCGGGAAAAGTATCGCATAGCAGTAACGCTTCTTTACCTCGCTCTGTTGAAGTTGAGTAATGGGCAAAATTGGCAATGAAAAATCTCGCGGCAAAAAAGTTAAAGCTGGAGAAACTGCTGAAAAGCAAAACACCGAATCGACAGACAGCTTAAGGAATACCCTTATCGCTGAAATGAGTTCCCTCGGGTCGGTTTATTCATGATTTCAAACGATTCGAGGCGAATGCCTATGTGTTAGTATCAAGGCTGGTACTTGCTTATTGAAAGGAAACTTCGTTTTTAACCTTTAGGTAGGACAAATATAGATTTGATGGCGACTTCTTTTTTCGCAATTTGAATGCCAGCGTGGAGAGAAATGCCATGACTGTTTTTTTTTCCTAACAAAATGGTGCTATTTCTCTCCTCTTTGGGCCTGGTTTTTTTCTTTTTCTTTGCCCAAGGACTCCTCTCTAATTTTGATTTTTTTTATGCACGAGAAAAGACTTTCCACTATCATAGAACTCCACGTGTGAATTTTGTCAGGTGCTTGATGTAAACCAAATATGCAAATAACACTAGATAGTGCTTGAAGGAAATACTGATAATACGATTTGAAATAGACGGTATGATTGGGGTTGGTATGGCTTTTTAAAAGAGAATTACGACTTTTCCAACGAGTTTACTTTTAAAGGGCTTTCGTCAAACAACAACAGAGCCCCCAATTTTTTTTTTTGAGTTAACAAAAGAACGTAACAAATGCCAGAACTCGGGTTCAGAGACCCAGATGATCTTCTTGAAGTAGGACCTGATTGATATCTTGGCACCTCCATTCGCGAATCGGCAAAAATTGCTCACATAATAGAGCAGCCAAACACATAAATATCTCTTGTCCACCTCGAGAGTCATCACTAAACCGTTCATGACCGTGATGAATGCTTCCACAAGTAGACATCTATATTAAAAAGACATCTCTATTAAAAGACATCTATATTAAAAACTCACCTCGTTTATCGTGTCCTTGATTTCTAGCAGAGCGGGACGGCTGTACACAGCTTTTGCTCAAAATCAATCGATATTTCCACGTGCATTTTACGTGATGTCATCACAAGCACCCTGGATATAAAAAAAGCAATCGACTGCGCATGTCTCCGACCTGGCATCCGACAAATTTTGGCTTTTTCTCGCTGTTGCAAAGAATAGGTTGCTGCCTCGCTAGGGCTTGCCAGCAATGAAATTGCCGCGAATATTCGCCCAGGGGGTTCTCCTAGTTATGAGATTATGACACCTTCCTGATTTATTAACTTTTATCTGAAAATACTAATATTTTTACACTATTGAAAACAAACTTTTCCATCTTTTATTCTACTCACACGAAAAAAAGACGGTTACAACAGAGAGAGAAAAACAAAATAGATATATGCTAATTTTTTTTAAAAAAAGGTTTAAATAACAAAAAGAAAAGAAACACCTGGACCAATCATAAGTAAAATTAACAATTCCTGTGAAATATATTAAATTCAAATAACAACGGTCAAATCATGTCGGACGCTTTTTGAGATTTTTAAATTTTTCTTTTTACAAACGCTAGGTAAAATGCCGACTTTCTTGAAAGAAGCCAGTCACAACCATCTCATTAAATTTTCCATTAGCACCCTTGCATCCGCGTAATCTGCGGAACCCGGTCTAAGGTAAGAATTCTTGTAGGAAACCGAGACATATGACGAAGATCGTTCGTTAAGAATTACTTTGTAGTGAATTACGAATCCCTTTTCGCCTTAAAGTGCATATGAAACGAAACTTTTTTCTCTTGTTTCTTGTAGTTGGATATCTATAGAAAACGTTTCGAAGCTTTAAAAGAGCTGGAAAAATGTAAAAAGCAATTTTTTTGCTTTCAAAATACGCGCAATTTGCATTCAAATTTGTCCCGGAGACTGGGACCTAGATTATCGCCGTCAAAGTTATTCATGACGTCACATTGTGTACCTTTGCCGCGAAGGTCTGTTGTCGCTAAGAGGATTCTGCAGTACTTCGTAGTAGATATATAGTGCATTGAAAGGCAAAGATGTCCAGTGATTCTAATGATTCCTTTGACTCTGACTTTTCTGAAAGTTCCATTGACTTCGAAGAATCTCGGTAAACAATGTGACATCACGAGCGATTTTGGCCGCGCGATGACCGAGACAAATTTGAAGGCAAAATGCGCGTATTTTGAAAGCAAAAAAATTATTTTTAGATTTTCCAGCACTTTTAAGGCTTCGAAACGTTTTCTATAGATATCCAACTACAAGAAACAAGAGAAATAAAATTTCGTGTCATATGCACTTTAAGTTATTAACAAGTCTTACTTCTCTAATATGAAATAATAACAACAAGTACAAATTAATCACTTTTAAGGCAACAGGAATCCTAAAAATGTTTTCAGTTCCCTGATATCTCGTCTGATATAACCTGTCCCAGTCAAGCTCCTCCCCGTAATGGAAATGCAGCACAAAGTAAGTTACAAACATGAACATTATTTCAATTTGTTCAATTGAATCTAGCACACCCACACAATGCATGGATTAATATTATTTCCACCCGATGCGTTTTAAGGCAAAACCATGGCGAAGGATCAGATACTAAGTGAGGAGGGAAGAGAGGTATGTTTGGCTGTAGGGTGTGATTTAAAACTTACAGAACGATTATAGCGGAAAGACAAACGAGAACCATTAGCAGTACATCAACACTTTCATCGGCACCCTTATGTGAATTCTTGCGTTACATTTTTCTAAGTGTACTGCACTTGGAAGTTGCAAACACAACTTGACAAATTAACATGCCAACATTAAGAACTGAGAGACATGACAACTGGTCAAACAATTTTTTTATCTTCCAGATTGTGACAGTGAAAGCTACCAGAGGATCCAAGTTTGTCACTGGGGGTGGGGTTAGGATGATGTTGATGGGGTCAGCGTCCGTTTCTGTGTTTGCAATGTGATTTCTAACACGAGCACGAGCGAGTTACTAGAGGATCGACAACAAGGAAAGTAAAGAAGGGCAATCGCATAGCTGCGTTTTACTACTTGGAATTTCAGAAAGCGCACGAACAAAGTATCTCCGTTCCAGCAGGGTTTACCTCAGTGTAAGAACCTGTGAAGTTTAGTGTTTTGACACTATTATTTTTCTAGGCTGATTTGCTTTGGCGTTCTTGGTTCCTTGTTATTCATCCCTCGAAAACGCGACGGTTTTATACACCGAGGAAGAGCCGAACTCACAATTCTGTTGGCTTAATTAGAGAGCCGTGAGCGCTGTAAAAAAAACTTGCTTTGCAGCGGCACATTCTAACACAAACGATTATAAATATACCCTTGGATGTTTACCTACAAGGACCAAGTTTAATGTAATCTGATTATCTTTTGTGTGCTCAATACAGTGTTAACGTAACCTAGCCTCTGTTGTGAAACGCTATAGTAAAAAAGAATAATCTCAGATCACATATAAGTTACAGAATCACACTATTGTTAGCCTTAGTTCTTTAAAAATTTTTGGACATGAACAGTCATTTTAAATTTTCACCTTCCTTCTTTAATGTACCATAACGCTATAAAAAAATAACCTCTAAGTTCAAATAAGTTACGTAGTCTCATGCAATGTCCTAGACAATAATTATTCCTCTTTTCTTATTTTTAGCACGGCTGTGTAATGTGATTCAAATTTCCCAACGATACACTTAGAACATTGTCATATTAAACATTTCTGACCTCAGTGCTAGCCTTAAGAATCAGTTTGATGCTTTAACACCACGATAGCTCATTCAGTGGTCTGCAACTGACTCTTAGTCGTGATCGTTTCAACGCCTCAGTGCGACGGGTCATTCTGAGGATGTATCTAAAACCCTTGACATCCAATTGATGGCTTTCAGAGTCAACTCGTATCCCCAAAATAAAGCAGCACTCTCAGGTGCAGCCCTTAACAGCACGGGAACAATCCCTTTGTACAAAGCAAAGGCACCCTCATTACGAAGTAACTCCCGCAAAGCATCTCGGACTCCCCGCGGATACTTCCCCTCAGGAGCCGTCCAAAAACGGCTGGCTAAAACATCGCCAGGAAGGGCCACTAACCACCATATTGTCCCAGCAATGCCCCCAGCCAAGAGCACAGGAAGGGACCCTACGTCATCACGTGAAGTGTCTGGGGGAATAAGGGTTCTCACCAAGTATTCGTAAGATACAAAATAGCACCCTGACGCTGGTGCAGTTAAGAGATTTGCAGAGAGACCTTTATACAACCCTTGAACACCTTTTGTTTTTAAAATATGAACAGCTAGAGAGAATGGACCCCGGTATTTCATGCTTTCACTGGAAATCTGCTGCACTTGAAGCTTACATTTGACATGGAAAAAAGGTACAAATACTGCAGCTACAAATGAACCTGAAAACAGGCCAGCATTGAAAAATTCAAATGAGCCCAATTTATCAAAGTTTTGATCTTTGCTCTGAAGTTTCAATCCCATACCATAGCCCCAAAACAGCAAACTCCAGCTTGGCACAGACATGACCATGTGTGGGGTCAGACTCTTAAACAAAGCCACTGCCCCTTCTTTTCTCGTAGTCTGCATAACACAATCCGGCATTCCACTAAATTTCCTCTTCTCGGCAAGAACTTCCATGGTCTGGAGACGAACTTTGATAGTGTCAAGTGGGTGTCCCACAATTACTGATATCAAGCCTCCAACTGTACCTGCTATGGAATAACTCAGGGGGGATTGGATAACTGTGTGTTCCTTTGCACTCATTTTCTTGAGTATTCACCGCAATGAGGTATCCACTTGATTTAAATTTCCAAATAACTCCGTTTAGCACTGAACTTTAATGTATATGTAGTACCACTCTTTCATGTCATAATTTCTTCGTTGAAGTCCTTACCTATGGGAAGATGAGAATTGAATTTTGAACACAAAAAATTGGACAATAGACACATATCAAAAAATAAGACCATGAAGGGAATATTCATAGAAACATGGATTCAGGTGAATGCATTGTTCACTAAAATTATGGAAGTCATGATACTTTTACCTTTCAAGTTTCCAAGTTTATTTCACACTATTCAAATTAATACTGTATAAAGACTTTGTAACTAGGTGAAGAAGATAATGAGAAGTAGATATCATGCAGGTTTGTATATGTGTGCACAGTGACCAAAGTAGCTGTAGCTTTCACGTTGGTCACTGGTCACTTTGTGTTTCAGCAGTCTTATTTTCTCCAATTTTTCTTACATTTCCTTGTACGTAGTAGACTTAGCAAAATATTAGAAATAAAATTTTCCATAGTTTCTACCCTAGACCCTTGATTGTGCTTGTGCCATTCATTTCACACATATTAGCTGAAAAATTGCATTTTGTAACAAATATATATTACTGAGTATATCAGTGTTCTCAACTTTCATAAGGGGATGGTTGCCAGAAATGATTTTTTGGGCAACTCAATATTTTCAGGCAAAATCTGAACGAAGAGTGTCAGTGTTGAGGGGTACTTGGATTGGAGGCTTATGGCTTGGTTGTATGAATGTTCCAGCCGTTGGGAAAATTTTGATCTAGCTATACATGGTAAACACCCTTGCATGCCAAGGCAGTCACCTTGCAAGTAAACTAGGCAGCCATGTAACTCTCTATAAAACCTCTGTATTTGCACCTTTGCATTAAAACTCTGCTCACTGATCAATGCAAAGCCTGCAACCTAGCCCTCATAAATCTTTTTGTGCTGTAGTATGTGTTTTTTTGCCTGCAAGTAATCTAAGGTCTTCAGCAAAGCAAGCCAACTAGAGGTTTGCAAGAACTCTGATACTAATATCAAACTTACTCATGCACAGACAGAAACAATTGTTTCTTTGCACTAACATCTTTCTGTTTCTTTAGGGAGCATCAGCTTACAGGTAGAGGACCTTAAATGTTTATTGTTTTTACAATTATACATGTGTGAATTTTCCAATAAATGTTTTCCTTGTACATAAGCTTCCACCCATGTGTAGCTTGCGCAAACAATATAGCAATGTTTATATCACTGCGTGACAATACAAGAAGATCAAATCATGTCTATGTGCTAGTATTTGAGCTGTCAATGAAATGATAATACTTAAGGGCTATTTGAAAAAAAAAGGTTACAAACCTTTTAAATAAAATCTCATCTTGAACTCTTTCAATGCAGACCTTACTCTCTAGTTATTGTTAATACTACAGAAGTTGAATAATGATACTTGTGATGTGACAAAATTATCTTTAAGACACTAAAGCAGTATTTACCAAGCAGCAATGTACTTTGGTTAGAAAACCCAAGAATTTAAAGGGGAAAAAACAGAGAAAGATCCAATGGTGCTAGGGAAAATACAATTTTTCGATGATGATGCCAAATAAGTTTAAAAATGTTAAAGTTGCATCTAACACTTATCCTTCGTTACTCTGACTAGTATGGCTTGTAAAACAGTGGACGATCACTTATTGTTACGGTACTCCACCGTTCTCAAATACATGTTACTTAAACATGGTACTAACCTTGGCAGACAAATGCGTAACTTATTAACATTCTGGTGCGTAAGAAAGGCCTTTAAGTCTCAAAGGAATATCTTTTATATAACAAAGAACTGCGAAGCACGAGTTTGTCCACATGTGCTTCGTACCTTAAACAAAATTGTCACAAAGTAATTCTCACCTCCACACACCGAGCAACTTCTCTTCAGATTTGTGCAACTCATGCTCTTGTTGCATCACACGTTTTATCGATCACCAGCTCACATCGTCCGCCATGATAACCGTGGGAGACTAGAGAAGAGTTTGAGTAGTCGTTTCCAGTCGTTTCCAAGAATGAAATTTTTCCACGTCCGTTCTGATCTTTACTGTCTTGAAAATTGGTTCATTATGTTTTGTTTAGTTGTTGATGTGTGAAAAATGTTTTTTGTTTCCTTTTTAATTAAACACTTTCAACTGCGATGGTCAATTGCGTATGTTCCATTGAGGGATTTTAGAATAAGGTTATACCACACTTTCTTGTGTCTTAGCCGAATATCTGGGAGTGGACCCATTCCAAACTCTCGAATCTTCCTGAAACGTTAGCCCAAGATGTCTATTCAATTTTGGTGTGACTTTCTGACGGATAGTTATTGGAAAGGCTGGAGTTTAGCTGTGTGCTATTTAAATCTGCCTGTCTGTTTATCTGTTTAACAGTCCAGCTCTACCTCACTATATATGGTCATCAGTCTATTATACTATCTAGACCCTAGAACCTATTCACCAGTTATCTGTAGGCTATATCACTCACTACCAGCTGTTGGTAACTGGCCATTGTTTAATTGCTACACACGTTTTTATTTCAAGTTCTGTGTCAATATTACCATAGCACAACATCAGTGGTTCATCCAGATAATAGCCAGTCGGTTATGTACTGCATATGTTATTCGAAATTCCTCGGTGTCTAGACTAGGTTAACATCGATGGAACTTTTATTCCTGTTAACCGGATAAGGAAACAAAAAGTATCCGACGAGATTTATTCAGAGATAAAACACCGACCTGCTTGAAAGAAGCCAGTTACAACCATATCATGCGGCACCCTTTTATCCGCGTAATGATGTAACTGATTATAGCTAAACGACCCTTCCTACTTAACTTTACAAATGATACGCATACGCTCTTCTCTATGGCGATACAGTCAGCGGTAAGTCGGTGTTAGTTTCAGCAGTGGGAATGTAGGCATCATAATATTTCATCATCAGTGACGTCACCACGTTCTTTACGAGCGCTATGTTTTCATAGAATGGGAAAGGTCCATCACACGTACTTCCCTGGCAGACTCTGATTGGATGCATACTGAGTTGGCCTTTAGCACTTTTTTCTTTGGAGATATATTGTTTGAAATAGTGATAGAGTTTGTAATAATCAGTTTGCTGAAATGTGGCGTATCCAGAAACAGGAATACCATCCAGAGCACATATATGAGAAGTGAGCTCATTTAAATCGGGTTTTGAAGATAATGTCCGAAGATATGTAAGTTCCTTATTCTTCTCATGCTGTTTAGTTTTGGTTATTATTGAAACCGAAGACGATTCTATCGGAATTTTTCGGCCTCTTGAGGCCGATTTTTCGGCCACTTTTGAATTGTTAGCCTCTCCTTTGTGACCAGTGCTATTATTCCCATGCGCAGAACTGGTTTCCCTCTTTCCATCATTTTCATTTCCGATAGAACTCCCCTCGGTCACATTTGCCTGCCTTATTGTGCCTCTCTCCTTGTGATCTTGATTGAGCATTTTTACGACGACTACTTTTGGTTGTTCATCGTCTCCGCCAGAACTATGAATAAAAAAGAAGACTGAAGTTGGGGTTTGTGGCTCATTTAAGGCATTTCTCGCGATTTCTAATGTGATTCTAGACCGTGCAGGAGCTTCTACCTTTGACGCTACTTTTCACCACCTTTCCTACATAGTTTTTTCTCTCTATCTTTTATATTTGTATCAACCTCAACAAGGGCTTAATTTTGGAACAAATGATTTCCATTTTTTCACCTTTACGCAAGCCAACGACAACGAGACACAAAGTTTGTGCCAAAACACTAATCAAACTTATAAAACAGGAGTATAATGTTTGGTTTTTGTTGAAATCAAGCACCCACACTCACCCAGAATCAGAGAAACATCTTCTGTAGATCCCCAGAACTACCAGCAATGAAAATATGGCAACGACGATCACAAATAGTTTTTGCCAGTTTCTCTTTAGCCACTTGTAGACGGAACTCGCCTGGTTTGCTTTGTCTTTCAAATTGTTAAGTTCCTCACCTTAAGCAAAAACATAAATGAATGAATAAACAAACTGGATCAAAAACAAAAAATTATCAAAAAACACTACTCAATTAAGTAAAATTGACTCGACCGACCTACATCAGTGATGGCACCACGTTTTACATTACGTTTTAATGCATCTTACAATATAGCTGTACACCGAAAAATACTTTTGATAAGGTACTGTGAAAGATTAACACAACTCACCAATTCCTCTTCTAAACTGCTTTTTACTTTGGAGTTCCTTCTCCTGTTCCTTGTTATCTTTCCCCGTTACTATGCCTAAGAAAGTCATTTGTCTTTCTTATAAATAGTACCAGATAGTTTTGGGAATTTTACTTTCAAAGTGACATCTGCAGCCACATGCACTTTAAGATCAGAAGATTTAATTTGCACTTAACAGCCAT